TGCAAGTTCATCAACATCCAAAGATTCGATTCTTTTTTGCTCTGTTATCACACTATTATTCAGATCTTTAGCCTTGTCGCAATTATTTTTTAAATCTTCTTCAATTTTTTGAATTGTTTCAATTTTATCCTTTATGTCATTTAAGTCCTTGTTTTCGTCAATGAATGCTTTTACTTTATCACTAGCATTCAGAGCATCTTGAACCGAAATAGATGTCTTTTCTATAGATTCAATAATGTTAACTATGCCATCAGGTCTGATGACAATTGTACCAATATGTATAGCTAAGTTAAAAACTGAAAATAACACGTTCATTTGTGCCTCATAGATCTTTTGATCCTTCCATTTTTCAATTTCTTCTTTAAAATGTTCACATGCGTTGTTTACAACATTTTGTTTCTCCTATTATCAAAAGAACGTGGATAATTTATTAATTCTTTTTATTTAAAATTCTATTTTTATCAGGACACAACCACGCGTAATACAGTAATTATATCTCTATTCAGTAGGTAATCATTACCTGGTATAAACAATTTATAGTTCGGTCATGTTATGATTTTCATAAAATACAATTCTACATACCTTTAACTCGTCTTCTATCTTTTTCACCAATTTAGATGCTGAATCATAACGTTCATATTCATTCCTTTTTAAATTATCATGCAATTCGGTTTCATCATTAATATTTTCTAATGAAAATTCGGATTCTAATTTCATTTGATCAATTTTATCACTTTTATTTAGAAATTGCCTATATTTATCTTCATAAAATTTTACAGTATCCATAAATTCATTTATCCCATTTTTGTAGAATTGTTTATCCAATAATGGAACAAATGAAATTTCATTATTCCTTCTTTCTTCAAAAATATCTAATTGTACAAGAATCGAAAGCGCTTGATAGTATAATTCTTTTATTTTAGATTGTTCTTTTGTTTCCGATTGTGATTTGGTTATTTTACTTATCCAATCGAGGATTGATCGTGTAATTTCAGGATTATCATAAAATAAGACACTTGCGATGAGTAAAGAGTATCGTACTATTTTAAGGAATGAATGATTTTTAAGGATAATTTTATCAAATACATGTATGTCTTTATATTCAGGGTTCTTGCCATCGCGTATAGTAAGTAATTTACCAACGCATTTATCATCTTTTAATTTGTTAATAACGAATTTTGATGAATCATCATTTTTTAGTTGATTTTTGGCGATAATTTCAAGTTCAGAAGTCATTTCTTTAGTGTATATTACTATTCGAAAGAATTTCTTGTAATTAACAATTATTTGACATCCTGGTTTAATTTCAACTTGTCTTGCTGCAATCAAAATAATACCACTGCCATCCAAATGTGGAATTTCCAAAGTATTTGATAGTTGAATTACGTCACCATAGATTCTGAAGATTCGAGCATTAGGTTTGTCAGAAAGTTCGTTAAGGTCGACAACTAAATCACATTTAAAGATCTTAATTTTTGAAAATTTAAACAGAAAATATTTCATTACATATCATGTAAGCAATATACAAATGAAAAAATATTATCAACGCAATAAAATTAAATAAGCTTTCATGTATTCTTATTTCAATTTTAAATAGACTTAATTATAAACCCTTAATACTGTAATACAGTACGAGCATTCACAATAAATACCTCTATATCCGTCAGCGGTAATTCTGGTTTCAACGGTGGTACTTTAAAATTTTCTAACAAATCATCGTATGTTTTCTTCCAGTTCCATTGTGAAGAATTTTTATTAGACTCCGTCATAATTGTTTAAATTATGAAAATTATTCTTTTGTGATTTTTTATACACTGTACGTTACGGGCGTACGATGCAGGAAATTTAAATCTTTAAGAATAATGCATAAACAAGTACGTAGCACCAAACCTCAAATAGAGATGCGTTAAAGCAAATTTAGTTTTTAATTGATTACTAACGCTAATCGATTTGTAAATTAAAAATCACGTGATACATATAAAATATTACAAGACTTTGACCTCCTAAAGAGACTAAATTGGAATATCATCGTTTCTTTAGAAGTCGTTATTGAGACAAATTATTGTTACATCAATTATTTACAAAGAGTGCATACTAATATTATATGATTCAAATGATCACTATACATGGGTGTTTGATTATTTTTGAAAAACAATGATTTCGCAGGTATTTTGCATTTGCCAAAACCTATCTTTATGGGTCACCTGTTACGTACAAACAAATGTGCGTATATTACGATTACCGGTATCATAAAATAATTAAACACATCCAGTATATTATGTATCATACTGTCATGATGGATAAAACGTATTTCTTTCTCCTTCTCTATAAATTACTCGATGAATTGAAGTATACGAGACAGACTTTTGCACTAATTTTGCCAACGATGAAAATTGGTTTTTAATCGATTAATCGACGAAATAAGAGATATTTTGAACACTATCTATAAATTTGTACATTCGTAATAAATAAAGCTTAAATATTCTTTATTAAAAAAAGAAACTAAGATGCGCGTGCAATAATTGAACCCGAAAAAGACAATCACTTCTTTTAAAAATTGTGAAACTAAAATCTCGCGTTATTAAGAGAGACAATTTTAGCATCTGCACCAATATTGACACAAATATTTATAGGCAAAAATAGGTTAATTCAAATTGTGTTGAATTATCCTTTTAGATTACAGTGTTATAGTAGTGACTATAATTAAAGCTCTTGTAATTCTAGTAACAAGTTCTAAAAACACCATAATAAAGTACGGAATTTCTTACCTGAAGGGTTTTGAGTGGTGAAATTATATTGTTGTGAACCTC